GGATTATCACATAATCACGGCGCCATCTCACGATTATTAGTTGTTACACCTATGGAAATAACTGCCCACATGATTCTACGGAAATCTCTCCCTTTGTTTTCATCAATCTAATAACATCCTTCCATGTTCGCGCTATTGTTTCCTTTTACTTTTCAATTTATAAATCTCTCCATTTGTTTTGTATATATGGACTCCCCACCGTTGTTTCCTTTTAATCGCGACTAACGAAAGAAACAGCTTAGATCCGAGAATCACGGTGCTATCCCATAATTAACTCCACGTCCAATTTGATCCTCTCATCACGGCGAGGCTGTAGATGGATAATTGTGGGCTCATGCACCTGATAGATTGCTTACATGCAACAAAAAAAACTGCTAAGTAATAAACTGCTAACACCACTTTCCACGGCACGTCGTCTACCTCTCGCCGCTGGCTCTCACGCACGTCTTCCACATTACCAAAGCACCCCCTCTCCCTCGCGCATCTCTCTCCCCGGCGCGGCCGCGCCGCCCCCCTCTCCCTCACGCGTCACGCCGCCGTGCCTTTACCTCGTGCCGCCGCTCCCCCATTCCCCTGCGCGGCAACGCCGCTCCCTCTCTCCCCCTCGCCTGTCTCTCGTGTCGCCGCACATCAGGTGCGTCTTCTACGGCTCCGGCCACCGTGCTGCTTCTCCGACGACCTCTCCGACATCCTGGGACCACATGGCAGTGACTAGACACCGTCGGGACCGTGAGGACCGTCGGTCCGCACCGAGCTTCACGTCTGCCGGTCCGGTCCCTGAAATCAGGACTGCTGCAGTGCTCGGTCCGGTCCGGACCGGACCGCCGGCGGCCGGTCCAAACGACGGCTCGGACCGGGACCGGACCGGCCCAGACCGTGTCCACCCTGAGTTTACACCATATGTACTCACATTGAAAATTTTAGCTAGTTCCTCCCTACCTCCATGTCCACTTCATCAGAACAGCACCATATGTAAGAACCATCTCAAGCATCAACCATCTGAGCCAAGTGTGCATGTACGTCTTGGCTTCCTGCTCCTGTTCCCATCATCCGCTATCTCATCGACCCCATCGACCTCTACCTGGCTACCCGCTGCCGCCGGCATCCTTCGCTGGTGCTTCGCGCGGCTCACCTCATCTTGCGCCTCCTGCAGCCTCTTGTGAAGGCCTCGCCAGGGCAGGCCTGTTGCGCAATGTCATCAGCCATGTTCTTCTAAGCCTTCTTGGCGTCTCGCTCGAAGAGCTGAGAAAAGTGGATGAGCCGGATTGGGCCAGCCGCTACTCCTAGCCGGTGGTGTCTGTTGGGCAAATAAGCCACGGCCATGTATTGGGTTAGTCTGACTAGTGTCTAGGCTTAGTCCGGCTAGTGTGCGAGTGCGTACGTGTGCGGTGAGTGTGCTGGACGCGAGTCCATGGCCGCGTGCAGCCCGTGGCAAGTGTGCGTGCGTGCGTGAGTCTGTTGACTAGAGTAGCGGGAGGTTGTGTAGCGATGGGTTGCAGCCGGCCGCATAGGACGCGTTCGTGCGCGTCATGGGCCGAGCTTGCGGATCGTGGCCGTTGGAGAGTGGAGCGCGGCGTGGTACGTGCGCGTACACGTATAAGACTCCCTCCTGTGTACTGGTTCAGCTGTGGGTGCAGTTCGTGCTGTAGGAGAAAATTTTGCCGTTCGTGCGGTGGGCGTTCGAGCGCCGGGAAAACCACCACCGTGTCCACTGCAGCTTCTTCTTCCTCCTTTCTTCTTCAGTCTCTGTGAGAGAGAGAAATACAGAGAGCTCGGCGAGCGAGGGAGAAGGACACGGCAACAACAGTGTCACTGCGGTTGGCAAATCGTACAGTCTCACCAAAAGTTCACGAACAATGAATTGAATGAAGAAGATTGGACGTACGCCAACTCATCTGATTGTCGCGTGTATCTGCATAGGAAGAAAAATATTGCACTCGGCTTCGCCAAGTTGAGGAGACGAAAGCAATCAAGAGACGAAAGCTTTCTCTGCGTCGCCGCGTCATCACCATGGCAGCTTGGCGTCTCTCCTCGACGTGGCGGCGACGGTGCTGGTTACGCTCCTTTTTCTTAAGCCACTCTTACACAACAGCCCCAACGTGATCCTCTCCGGCATCAACTTCACCGCCATTGCCAGGCTAATCGACGTCTGTGGCGCTGCCAAGCTGTGGAAGGTAGACAAGCTGATTTGCTGGCGTTCATCGCCGCATTATTCGGCGTGCTCCTCGTTTCCATCAAGATCTGTCTGCCGTGGCCGTCTGGGTCTCACTATTCAAGATCCTGTCCATGTGAGATGGGAGAGAACAAACAGGGAAAACAATTTGAAAATTATAGTATGTAGGGAAAGAAGACTCCTATGGCGATCGGCTTGGCTCGACGGTTTGAATTCTAGATCGTTTCGTGGAAGTTCCTTTTCGTGCCCTAGTGGGTCTCCTGTTCGTGTGCTAGTTTTTTTTTTTTGAGACAATGTTCCTGCGCCAGCTATTGGCAAAAGCCTAAAGAAGAAACAATATAGGCTAAGGCCCAGGTGCCAATAGGCCCAATCAGCGTGCGACATAAGGCACGATCGATCGAACACGAGGGTGGCACGATCGAGCGAACGTCAGGGGTGGAGTGCGGGTTGATCGTTATAAATTTCAGGGATTTTTTCATAAAAACTCCGTGACGGTGAATCCGGAGACTGAATCC